ACAAAAGATATTTACATTGGTTTCAAAAGGATTTTGTAAATACTAGTACCAATGATATTTAGCCTCAATATAACCTTTATATTAACTTCTCTATCCCTAGAACAAACTTGTGTGGAAAGTAACCACCACCTTGTTAGTTATGATCAAAATTGAGACCTCAACTTGTTTTCCCAAGGTCATAGACTAGGATATTAGTAAAGGCTGGCCTATTTTAAATGGGTTTCAGTTAATGCAACAGGGTTATTTTATATGGGCTTTGTTCGAGACTCAAGGATAAAAAAAATTAAACTTCCTGAATACTAGCTCTATGTTCAGATCACTAGTTTACAGTTCATAACTCTCTAATCTGTCAATATGTAAAGAGATTATAAAAGTAATAGAGTATATTGGGCAAAAAGCCAAATGAGAAGATAGTATTCATTTTGTCACTTTTAAGTTTGTTTTACTATACACCAAAATGCATGGGAGGGAGAATATCATTTTAGAAAAAAATTACACCAAGGTAACTCTGGAAAACCACTCCCTGAGCTCCTACTGGAGGCAAAGGTCAAAGCATATAATCAGGGCCTGAAATAAAATTATCAGTATTGTTGATTAGTACTTAACAAAAGTACAAATTGGTCATGTCAGTTTTTCATCTCATACTTTTTCCCCAATATTTAACTTTTCAATTTACTTAGACAATAAATGCCTGTTTCATGCTGGAATCACTTTAATTTTAAAGTGAGTTATCCTTTAATTCACTATTTTTACTCATTCAAATCAAAACTACATATTACTACTTCTGTTGATAAAACACTGCTATAGGACAAAATGTAACAATGTAAAATAATCTCTAATGAAGCAAATAATATTTAAAGTATATTAATAGCCATCATATTTACATTTACTAAAGATTGTGAATTGAATAATTCTGACTACATTTTTGAAGAATAACATGTTCTCAAAACTAATAATAGAAGATAAGTCATAATGATTGATTATAAAATGATCATTCATAATTATTTCATCTGAAAATAATAAATACTAGAAATTAGCTAATTCTTTAATTTTCATGAAAATAAGATCATCAGTATGCATAATTCTAGATGGTTCCAATTTTGGTTTTTCTTTTTTTTTTATTGTTGTGCTGGGTGGGGGTATATTGTGACATTTACAGAAGTTCTTACAACTTATCAAATGTATCATACATGAATTCACTTATTCCCATTCCTGGAACAGTTACACACAGGGATAATTTTTCCATTTTCATACATGTGCATACAGTATTTGCACTATATTCACCCTCTCACGCCCCTCCCCCATCTTCCCTCCCCACCCTCCTACTAGTACCTACCCTGCCCCCGGGCAGAACCTGTTCTGCCCTCTTGTCCTCCAGTTTTGCAAAGAAAAAAAAGACATTTTTGTTCGTTTAAGATAGCTACACAGGGAGTTTCCTTGTGACATTTCCATGTATATATGTATTATAACCTTAATTGGTTCATCTCCTCTTTCTTCTTTCTACCTTAGTCCCCTTCCTATGGTGGTTTCAACAGGTTTAAAAATTCTATATTCATTCTGTTCCTCTTAGGGCTGGTGGAGTGGATCAAGTGGTAGAGTGCCTAGCTAGCAAGCCCACCAATTTTGGTTTTTCTTTGCAATGATTTACTAACACCCATCATGAGCATAGTTTTTAACAAACTTCTTACCTGCTTTTATATAATTTTAGGAGTTGTCGCCTGAGATGAAAACTTTTGTGGATCAGTATGGGCAAAGAGATGATGGAAAAATAGGAATTGTAGAGGTAAGGAACTATATGTTCTTCTGATTTAATAAATGAGCTTTAATTCTGAAGTTGTATCCAAGTCAAACATGATATGGCAAGACTCATTCAGAGATCCCTATTTCACCTGAGTAATATGCTATCTTCAGCTCAAAAGTATCAAGTAAAAAATCTAGACATGAAGGAGACCTAAGAGTTTGCCTAATCCAAAGCCAAAGTTTAACATATTATAAAACTGAGACCTGGAAAAATGAAGTGCTGAGCCTGCGTCATGCAGTACAGTCAGAGAAATAAGCCCTCAACTTCCGAATGAGTAACCATCACTTTGCACTACCCACCCTCATTTCAATAAAGTTTGTAAGTACCTGTTCATTGATAATTATTAACTTTTAATAGTGTACACTTTTCTGTTGAAATTTAAAATTAGATGTTTTCAGTCCCTATGATGACATCAGGTATAAAGCTGCATCCTGGTTTCTGAAATTTTATTTAAGATTGTTAGGTAGTTTTAGTAAAAACACAAGAACTAAACAAAAGTGAGTGAAAATTGTATGATCTGTTATAGGTACATATTTCTTTTGAGACACTAAAAGTTAAAACTGTAGGTGTCAAATATTATCTGTTGACAATGACTTTTCCTATTGAGAACAATTTATTTTGTCTGAGAATAAGAAAGCAAAACTTTGATTATGAATCTGTTCTGCGTTCTTGGATTTCTGAAAGAGCTGTTCCTCTTAGTCCTGCTGTTCTAGACTCTGGAGGCAGTATAGCATCTACCTTTATCTCAGCAAAATTGAGTAAAAAGTTTTATCCAGAAAAATTAATAAGGTCATATTTTAAAAGATGCCAAATCACAAGCATAATTATGTTCTTCATATAGTGTTGTCAGTGTATTAATTGTGAAGTGTTCTGGCTCTCAACAAAATTTAGTTATAATTCACCTTTGATTAAGAGAACTAACCTGGTTTTCAAATAATTGATCTTATTAGGACACTTGTGACGCCAGTGTGAAATATACTTATTTTTAAATACCTACTAAAATTGAATGAAGGGAGGGCATACTGTTATTATCTTTGTAATTAAAATTTCTCCCTGGAGTATGCACTTTCCCCTTTGCCTGTGTGTAGCTCATTATGATACAAAAAGTAGATAATAGTAATGAGTCTTACAGATTGATATAGAAGCCAACTAATCAAGATATGAGACCATGAAGGAAATCCCATGCTAGTAATCCCAGCACTAGGGAGACAGAGGCAAGAGAATCACTAGTTTGAGGCTAGGCTAAGCCACATAACAAGACCGTCTCAAAATAAAATAAAAACATTTTATATTTTAAAAATGTAAAATATGTTAAACTAACATAAATGAAATGAGACATATTTAATTATTCAAAACTATCTTGAAAATCTGACATCACTGAAATTCTAGCTTTATAATCCTTGAAGGATTTATTCCTTCAAGTGGGCTCAGCTATTTATTCTGTGATTTCTTCAGTGGGCTCAGCTATTTATTCTGTGATTTCTTCAGTGGGCTCAGCTATTTATTCTGTGATTTCTTCAATGATACAAAGTTGTGGAGTAAAAAGCATAGTTCTTATTCACATGGATTTTATGCTTCAATAAGGACAAAATGGATGAGCATGTTTTGAATCCAAGTTTTATTATAAATGATATAGTCTGATCATTTAGGACTTATTATTTGACGTCTAATGTGAATGAGAGCTAGGGGTCAGTTCACAGATGCCTTGTCTCAGAGGTCTGATGAAAGACACTTTCCCACAAGTTTGAAATAAGAAACTGTTACCGGAAGAAAAAGTTCTCTATGTAAGGAAAGAGGGAAATATACATAAGAGGAAAAGATGAAGATGATAATGAAGGCTGAAGTGAAAAACTGAGCAATTTTTATGGTAATAAGAGTAAGAATTTATGTCTGTGAGACATAAAATTTATAAAGTGTTTCCAAATAAGTTATCTCATTTGGTCCTCATTAACAACCAAGTAAATCGTAAATATGAAATAAGTATCTATTGGAGATAGAAGTTGGGGAGACTGAAGTTTCAATGGAATTTGCCTAAGGTCAAAGAGAAAGAAAGAACTAAATGTACAACAGTCAGGACCCAGTCATATTTTTCTAAACTACTTTGCCTACTTTTTAAAATAATAGATGATCTGCACATTTTCTGCACTAAAAGGAAATATTTTCAAGCTTCAGAAGATTACTTGTAGCAAGACCTAAGTTTTACTGAGTTAAATGGAGATACACAAAGTACAGATGCTCCACAACTCACAATGGGGTTAAAAGCATCATAAATCGATGATGCATTAGTAAACCTAGCCTACTGAGCATTGTAGCTTAGCAGCATGGTGCACTATGGAGTACAGCTGCAGAATCTCCTGATTGAGTGGCTAACTTAGAACATACTGAAGCTGCCCATCATCATACATTAGTAGCCCAGGAAAATATCAATATTAAAAGTATAATTTCTACTGAATGTGTACTGCTTTTGCACCATCATAAAATTGAAAAACCTAAAGCTGAACCATCTTGTGTCAGGGACCATCTGTAGAGATAACTTGTTTGGCTAAAGAACTTGAAATGTGGTATGGGCAGAACTTTTCAAATCCTATCATGCAGGAAGAATCTAAAGGGAGAGTAGTAAAACATAAGAATTGATTATAAGGTTCTGGTGTTCTTGTACATGGAAATTTTTGCTAGATGGAACCCTTGGGAAGAACAAGCCAAAATTCCTCATTTTAAGGATGAAGAAACCGTAGTCCAGAAGGATTGAGTGGTGTGTTCAAGGTCTCAGTGAGAGGGAGGGACTGACGATCTACAGCACTAGATCTGACCCTGATTTCAGAATTCTCTTCATGAACCTGAGTTATCAGCCAAGATGTAGGAAGAAGGAGTTGGGGGAGGAGGTATGGATTCACTTGGGGAGAAGAGAATCAGAGAATGCAAGAACAAGTAAGAGGTGGTTGTTTCAGTAGTTCTTACGCACGTTGATTCAGTGTCGGGTCATTAAGTAAGAATAAAGAAAAGAGAAGTTCTGAAAAGTTGAAAGTTGCAGATAATATAGAAAATGGGAAAAGAGAAAGTCAATCACACTTGAACTTATAATGTATACTATGTTGTCACCAGAAAGTTGTTTTAAATGAAACTCATCCTTTCTTTATCCAACTTGACATATAATATTACTTGCTTGGAATTCTTTATAGCATATGGGACATAAATACACAAATCTTAGCAAGATATAAAGGAACACAAAACCCCATGTTTTCCAAAATTTATAATATTCTCCGTCCTTATATCAAGTACACCATAACCTTGTTGTTCAAAGGTAAAAGAGGTTGGATTTGCTTTTATGTTATTCCACTTAACAGTTACATTCATGGACTCATCAAAACCTAATCAAAGTAAAATAATATCCATGCAGTAGTCTGCTTCCCTAATGGAACCAACCAAATTGATTTTAAAAATTAGAAAATAGTTAATTTTCAACATTCTGACTTGTTAAAGTTAACTGACATTTTACAACAACATGCATCTCCTACTAAAAAACATGTAAAAAGGAGAGTAATATGCAGTTATGATTACTTCTGAACTTGGTAATTTCATGTCTTTAAATAGTTTTTAAATTTCATACAAATACAGTTTGGTAATAACAAGATTGTTAATGTGAGCTCAAAACAGGAGCAATGAAATTCTGAGATAATTTAACAAATAACACAACAATAAAAAATGTTTTAAATTTATTCAGACTAACAGTTCTACTGCAAAGAGGGCCAATTAAAATAATTAAATAGGAAGACTGAACGATGTACGAGGGAATGGTATTTTCTTCTCTGAGGCTCCCTTAGCTGGAAGTTAAATCTATAAACTTTCTCCTGTCTCTTGGGGCAATGAGTGGGAACCTACCAATCTCTCCAGCCTTAGTGTTTCTATCAGTCCAGGTCAGTGCATTCACTGAAAAAAAAAAAAAATAGATCTAAGAGCTATTTTAATTCTGAAACTGTAACAACCCTCCCAGGGAAGCAGGAAATTCTCTAGCTATTTCCTCCTTTATTCTACAGTGGAATTTAAGCATGTAAGTTTAGTCAGGGCAAATGTAATTTTTCCTAACAGAATACTTATCTGCCTGAGAATTTGGAAAAATGACTAACAATGAAATCTGATTTTTTAAATTCACGCTAGATAGATTTTTTTTAATGATTTATTATGAAAAGTTTTTTGATCAGCAATTTTAATGGATGGTGATAAAGGTAAGGAACAAAGATCTCAAAATCAAGAAAGTCAGACTGACTTCAAACCTGGTTCAAACAACAAGCTAAGTGACAGCAGACCCTCTCTGTGCTTCTCTTTCTTCAGATGTAAACAGGGATCACTATGTATTGACTTCCTAAGGTTGCTATGAGTGTCAGCATCAAGTGAGATAATACATGACAAACAGATCAACCTTGGAACATTGCAAATACTCAAAAATGTATTTGTCTTTACTATTAAATATAAAAATAACATACTGAAAAATCTACTCTATTGTTCTGAATAACAAGTCTTTTTTTTCCCATCTCTTACATAATTTGTGAAATTCAAATGATTAAACTAAAATAGAATTAAATGTATGAGAAGATCATTTGCCTTGCAAATATCCCAGATTCACTTCTCATTGGCTAGGAAAAAGGCTTCTCTGGTTCTCAAATTGAAAAAGCGAATTCTTTTAGCTAAGAAGGTTAAATGTGCCACAACTGTCTTTAAAAGTTAGAAATTTTGCACTTTAAAGCATCTGTCTCAGTCATTTGTCTCTCTAACGGAGTTGCTCTTCATGTGTACTCTTCTCAATGGTAGTGCTTTGCTTGAGCAATGTATCATCTCCTGTTTTGAAATTGCCAGGAAAAACAATTGTTTGAAATTATCTGTCTCCCTATAAGATTCTAACTGGTGGTATCTGCAAATGGCTAGCAAACAACATGGTGGCTTTATGTTTAGTAAGGGATTCAACCTCTACCAAAACACAACACAAGGGCTCTTTATTATGCTAGGAAACGAAGAGAGATGGAAAACAAAACTGTTAATGTTGAGTTTCCTGGAAGCAGATTTGAGTGGAAGAGTAGCATTAGGAGAATTAATAGGAAGTGTTTTGGGATCACTTGCAATAGAAGGAAAGTAAAGGGAACAGGACTGGAAAAAGGTAGATGATGGACTCTGACAGTCTTAACAGAGACTTTTACTGACCCCAAAGCATGCTCCTAAGCTGAAATCACCCTTCAGAAATTTATCAAGTTTTGATTGAGAAGAGTGGGACTTGAAATTCCTGTGTGGATTAGTCATAGAACATAGCTTCCTTGGGGATATAGCTATCTTCAGCCCAGGCAATCCCTGAGAGAGGCTTGAGAGCTGAGACTACAGCAACACTACTACAGCCTGAGGGTAGCAAGCATACCACAATGTCCACTCCAACTCCTACCTGCAATTTAAAAATAAGTGATTTGAATTATTTCCAATAGAACTTTACTTCCACTTATTTGCAGCCTTTGCCAACCCTATACAAAGTCAGTTGCCTCATTCACTGCATCAATAAAATATTTACTGAAATTACTGAAGTTTCTGGGCACAGAAAGAGAAAGGAAAACACAAACTTTATCCTTAAGGAGACAGGCAAGTAGAAAAAAAAGCTTGCTTCTCTGTTCTTCGGGATAAGCAACCAATTTTCTAAAGTGAAGATCTGAGAGATTCTGTTTGTGGCCGCAGCTGTCAGCCTTCCATTTTTCCCATTGATAGCCTCCACTCTCTTCTGAAACCCATGAAAATTTTGAGAGTTCATAAAAGGGCAGGCAGACAGCCCATGGACTAAGAAATCACCAACAGTGTTGGAATAGGGAATTCTAGGTCCTTTTATGGACACAGTAACTTAGCAACTCTGAGAATAAAGCAGCCCTACTTACCACCTAGGAAAGACCTTTGACAGGTTGTACACATGGCCTGAGGTACTGCAGCTGTGGAACTACCTTGCCCAGCTTGAAATTTGAATAGTGATTCATATGCATTAGCAGATGGAGCAACAGACAACACAGGACTATCACATTGTGAAACACACCTTAAGAAGAATTTCTTTATATTCACTATAGCCACATTTTCATTGCTTTTTTTTTATGGTTAGTTTGTTTTATAAAGATATTTTACATATTTAGGACTTCTTTATTGTGTTTGTAAAATAGGATAGCACTGTGTTGAGCATAACATTAATAGTTCAGTGAAATTAAAACACAACAAGTATGTTGTATAGTATTTTTTAATAATCAAATTAAGACCAAGACAACATAGGCAAAGAAACACACATTGGCACAAGTCATAAACAGCAATTTGGCCCTCTTTGTATTTGACATTGTAGAGAGCTTGAACTTTATATGAATTTATATAAATTTTATGAAACAAAGATTGTTAAATTTCCCTGCTCTTATATGTAGTTGCTGATGAGTAGCTTATTCTGTTATTTTTTCTGTTTTCATATAGTTGGTGGATTTAGAGAAGTACATTTTTAAAAGAAATTTTCATTTTGCTTTTGTTCAAAGCAACCTACATTAATAATAAAATTCAAATAATGTAAAAAGCCATGATTGTAAAAAAAATGCTTACTGTACATCATGCAAAGGAGGTATTTTTAAGGGAATAAAGCTATCAAACAAACCACAAGCACTTATTTCAGGCACATACGAGGCTGGGCCTAACACTAGATGATCAGGGGATGCAGAGAAGAGACATTCTCTGCCTCTTGAGGTGGATGGTCTGTAGGAGGTCCACACAAAACTTAAAACGTTACAAGCCAATAAATAAAGAGTTTGTATTGGCTATTTCCTATTTCCTAAGTGAATACTTCTGCTAATCACACCTATATTATAACACAAGCAGATGTCCAGTATCACACAGAACCATCCAAAGTGCTCACTGACCATCTAGTTCCATGGACCAGCTTGTTCCTTAAAATGTCTGCCTCTGGCCTATTTCTTTCCTCTTGGAAACATATGCTTTTTATTTTCCTCCTCCATTGTTCCCCTTGCTTTCCTGGATTATTCTTCCTTCCCTCCCCATCTACCTTGAAGTCCTAAAAGAAACATTCTCCAGAACCTCTTCAGGAAAATATTGTTATACAGGGTTTTACAGAAGGCTTTTGGGAGGAGGGTTGCTTCTTCCTCCTCTGGAGACTCTTTTCAGGCTCAGTCCTTCCTTGGGCATTCTCCCTCCTTGTTCTCCTTTTCTGCCTTAGCTTTGGGTGGAGACCCACTCTATAAGCCTTACTTATTCAATATCTCTCTACTTTAGTATGAAAATCATTTATAGATACTTTCCTCTAGCAGCACAATTACAGGTGATGGAAGAAAGATGATATAAAGATGATGGTGTACTAGTTTTCAACGAGTGGAAAGATAGCTCACCATATTCAGACTATCTTGTCATATGTAAAAATCACCAATAAATGCACCATTTGCTTTCCAAGTGCATTCCCATAGTGAAGAAGCAAAGCAACCCATTCTGCTGCTATGTTCAAGAAGCTGACTTAATTTACTAGTAATCATCATATTGAGATGATTTTCAAAGTTTGCCAATCACCAAATCAAATCACTCAACCTCTCTGGGTTTTAGCAGTCTCAACTCAAAATTTGGGCTTTGAATTAAATTGTATTACATTATTTTTGCAGTAGATAATTTCATAATTCAAGAATTCAAGGAAATCAAAGAATACAGAAGAGTCTTGAATTTAATAAAAGACCTAGATATCACAAATGCACGTGCACACACACACACACACACACACACACACACAGAGTGTAGTAATATAAGTAGTATTTATGGGCCAAAACCTGATTACATTTTAATAATGTAAACCTAAAATGGCAAATCCTAAACACCTATCTTCACCTTTTAGATATATTATCATCTATCCACACTTTGCTTCAAAATAATATATTTTCTGTCTGGATAATACTAAACATCCTAACAAGATATTTGGTCCTTTCCCTTAGTCTCATCCCCACATATGGAGTCTATAAACTGAATCATTTTAATTTGAAATATTTTAAGGATCTAAGAAAGGATAATTTAAAAAACATATTTTATAAGTATAAGGAAAGTGATATTGCTTGCATGCAAGGTGAATGACGTTTTATATTAATTTTTTTAATTGGCCTCAAAGGATGAACATTTTTTTAAAATTGCTGTGATAATCTCTCCTATAATTTGGTGGAACTTTTAGGACTTATATTGACTTTAAGATTAAGGTTCTTGATCTATACTGCAAGGATGAAGGTTCATGTCTGTGCTTCAGGGAATTTATTGGCTTCAGGAAATTAGTCTAAGTATAATATGTGTGGGTTCATTGGCTAATGGTGAAGTTACAATAATTACAACAGAAGGTGTTTTGAACCCAATACATTTAAGAGACAGTAGTTTCTCCTTCACCTCCTTATTTTAGTGATGAGGGTGCTGAGGTCAGAAATGGCCAAGGGAGTTGCTGGCGACCACAGCTCATTAGCAGCTGAACCAGAAATAGAACTCACGTCTACAGTGGAGCCATCAATCCAGCTCCTTCCTTCTCTACATGCAATAGATTATAATAATCTTAAAATGGGTTCTGAAGCCCTTTCTCCTCCAAAAAAAAAAAAGGAGAGAAGTATTAATGTTATGAAATGAGATCTAAGGAAGAAATGTCATAGTCACACAGTGAAGATCAAAAGTTAACCCAAGCCCTGGATTCAAGCAGTGGATACCTTTTTTGCAGAAACCAACAATTTGAAAATGGACTTTTCTTATTATTGCTCAGTTCCCCATTGTTCATTGTGAACTGTTTTATACCTGTCTTTGTATTGTTTTATAATTGTCGTTGGTTAATCTCTCTTTGCATCTCATAGTAGGATTTCTCCCCCAATTTGAAAATGCATTTTTTTCTTTCCCCTACATTTATGTTTCTCACAGTTTCTTAATTTCACCTGAAATTTATGTGCCCTGTGTGTGCCATTCTGTTTACCCTGAGTGATATGTAACCTGGCCTGCAGAACAGAACACATGAAGGGTTTGAGCAACCACATTCATCTGCTTGTGTGTGCAGCAGATAAAATGTGGTCCTGCTGTATCCGTCTCCCTGACCTGAGAACCAGGCAATCAAGGCACTGAAGCAGGGGAACACATGGAGCACTTTGTAGGAACAAAGTACCAAAAAGGGAAAGTCAACTGTTGTTCTTCCTTTCCTACTTTTCTAAGCAATGAAATTGTTCCTAGGGAATATGTTGAAGCAAAACTTAGCAGCAGGTGATGGCAGATCCTTGTTTTCAAGCTCCTCACCACAATGTTTCTCTCTTTTAAAATATTTTCCAGTTGGCTCATGTGTTACCCACAGAAGAGAATTTCCTGCTGCTCTTCCGATGCCAGCAGCTGAAGTCCTGTGAGGAATTCATGAAGGTAGTAGAAAACTGTAACTTTAAGAAAGCTACTAAAAGTAGGAAAATTGTGGACTTTTTAAAAAAAAATTGTTTTTTTAATCCAAATTACTTACAGACTTGGAGAAAATACGATACTGATCACAGTGGCTTCATAGAAACTGAGGAACTTAAGGTAAGGAAATAAAAACTCATGCTAAGGTTTTTTTTTTTCATTTTAAATGTAATTATGAACTGCTAAGGGCTTCATAGCTTTTTCAAAAACCTCCCACAAAAGAAACTAATGTTGAGCAATGGCACATTTTCACCCACTCTTCCACATCACTAATGAAATATCAGATCAAAAAAGAAACTTCAAGTGCTTCTTGAAATTCTATTCAGTAAGGCAAGAAATTAGCATTTTCTGTGGTATACACAAATTGTTATATAAGATAGACAGTCAAGGAGATAGACAGACAGATGTAACAACTATACAGGCCCAGTAAGTCAACACTCTCCATTGAAATTTGAAATTTTATTTTATAATTAAACACCCATATAAATAAATTTCTATTTCAAAAGAACACAAAGAAAAATTATGGGACACATCTTGTAATGCCAAATACTTTATATACATTATCTCATTCAATCTTCAAATGATTCTATGATATTATTACTCCAGTGACAAAAAGCTTGAGAGGACTTACATGATCTACTAAAGGTCACACAGAAATAAGGCACAGGGCTTCAATGTTTAAGTCAGACCTACCTGCTTCAAAGGCCATTTGTACACCCTGCTACTTCTCAACAATATCAACAAAATCCTAATATAATTAGGTTGAAAAACAGCAATTCTGCAAATGAATTTATCACTTCATAACTCACAGGAGTACTATGGAGGTGATGTGGGAGGAGGATATGAAGAAAGGAGACCTGAATCAAGTTTTAACTCAGGGCATATCTCTACATCACTAAAATGCACTTTCATGTTTAAGATGGGTTAACAATACCCTCCTCTCAGATGCACGGTGAAGCTCAAGTAAGATGTTACAGCACACGAAACGCAAGGCATAATCATACGACATTCATAAACTCAACTTACTGACCTTTTAGAAACATGGACAGATCTTTCATCTCATTTCCTCAAATCAATCTTAAGATGTTTCAGTCCAAAAGACCCTCATTCTTTTAATTTCAGAGTAAAAAGTGACTAAAAGGAAAGCAAGTTAATATTTATTGAGCACCTGCATATGTACCCATGTGCATATGCAGTACTATGTGCTAGAAGTGTGTTTTAACATTTAATCTTCATAGAAAACTTGCAAAGCAGTTATCATCATTCCCCATATAGAGAGAGACTGACTTCAGAGTGGTTAGATAAGTTTTCAAGATTCCACAGCTGCCTAGGAAGGGAGCCTAGGTTTGGGCCTATACTATCTGATAATGTTACAATGCTTCTTTCCTACAGCACTACATGCCTTCAAGCTTCATTCTTTGAGAGCTACTTCTGCTACTGCTACATGGGGAAATACAAGTAGCAAAGAGTTTCCTAACCATAGTTTGACACTGTTTAAGAAGGATACAATTTTAGAGCTGGAACTGGGACATTTGCTCCATTATAAAATTGCTAAAACATATTCACTTTCAGCCTCTTGAAAGTGTAAATATTTTTTTAACGTGAAGTTACCAAAAGCAATGTATTTCACACCCTTGCTGCTCTGCAACTCAAGACTGCAAGGTGACAGTGAAACTAGTGGGTTTTTATTCTATTAAACCAAAAATTCTTTCAAAAATCATCTTAGTTCATAATGAAAACTTTAGCTCATTTCTAACGCTGACCTCAAAATATCCTAAAATTCTCCTTCTTTGTTCTAAATTTTCTTCTCAGAAAGAGATTCTAAATAGAAGTCTTCCTCCCTGAGGAATTCTGAAGATAAGTTGGCATTCTTTTTTAATGGATCTTTCAAGAAAGCTAATTTTAAGATCCATAATAGAGTAAAACATCTCTTGCTCTCAGACATGACTTTGAATCCTAGTGTCCCAAGGTTTCTCCCAGGCTATTTTTGTGACCACCATTTTAGTCTCTGATGAGGCTTTTTAACCCAATTAATCTCTGACAAAAGCCTCAGAAGGCTCAAAAATAAAATTCACGCCACCAGATAACTTTCAATTTTCCATGCTTCACTTTGGATTTGAAGCAGAATGTCTGAAGTGAAAATAAATTTATCAAACCAAGGGAAAGGTCTCCTTCCTTGAAAAGAGTGATGTCAAATCAGCCAAGCAGAAGTGGTACATTTGGGAGAGATATAAACCACTGCTAAACTAAAGAAACACAATCCTTCAATACTATCTGGGCATAGGATCTACTCATTTTCCATAATTGCATTAATTCATTTTCTCATAAAATAAAAGAGTTGCAAATGAAACAGTACTGGACACGATGAAGACTATTATATACTTAAGTGGTTACACTGTCATTTCTGTGGCAGATCTTTGTATAGCTTTAATTTAAATCTGTTGAAAAAAATTAAACTCACTCCTAAGCTCCAACTGTCAAGTTAATAATCATCTTTTCTTATCCTTCCCACATTAATCTCTATTTTAATATGATTCATATATCCTTCAAGGATTACATGCCATCCTCTGTGACCAAATGTTTTAGTTTGTATAGTCAGCTGAAGCATTTTAACCAAGGCTCTTTGGATTGTGTCAAACCTAAAAACTAACCACCTGGACCTCTGGAGAAACAGGCTTCATACTCACTATAAACTGAGATGTAAATACAGTTCGTGAGAGCAGAAAATGCATTCAAAATTAGAGGTAGATCTCCATCTGGTTGCTGTTAATTTTTCACACGTTACAGAGCCTTCATGCTTCTTACAGAAGAATCACACGAATAGTTGTGAAGATATAATTTAAGTAGCAAGGCATCCATTAAGGTGGCTGGCTTTTAATGTTTTAATTCACATCTCTACACAGTGCACAATCTAGATCTTTTTTTTAATAACAAGGAAAATGTTTATGATAATGACACATGATGAAGCAAGTTACCTAACAATTTCTACTGTATGATTCCACCTCAAACACAAGGACTGGAAGGAAATACAATTTAACACCAAGAGGGTGTGGTATACAGTTGTCCTTTTGCCTTTTTGTACTGCTTTGCATTTTTTAGGTTTCCTACTGCCTTTACAGTTGGAAAGAAAGCAATTGCCTTTTGAAAAGCACATTAGAAATCATATTGGTCTTTATTTCTTCCAGTCTGATGACAGAGATCTCAGAAAGCTCTTGCTTTTCCCCTTGTACACTTTCTGTTAAAAGTAATACTAAGTGGGAATCTATTGCATACCTCCTCTGTTAGCCAGGTATTGGCATCTGAGTGATGCATCTCACTGAGCACTTCTGAGTTTTGTGGATTAGTATGCTTAATGGAGAAAACTGAAAACGCTTGAGACCACCAGGATACACAGACTGTCAATGACCCCTAGGACTCCCAGAAAGCCAAGTGCACTGGTATTTTATCTGTGCAAATGAATTGAAAAACCTACCTTGCCATTTCCTGCTCAGAATATTGGGGCAGATGAAATTAGGTTACATTGAACTTGTAGACAATTTTGAAAGATAAAAAAATGAAAAAGGAAGGAAGGAGAGGCAGGAGGTAAGGATAGAGGGAAGAATAAAGGGAAGGAAGAATAGAAGGATAGAGAAAGAGAAGAAAGGGGGTCAAATCTAAGAATCTGAGAGGAAGTCAGACATGTGCAGTGCTTCCACTCTCTGGTTACATTTATATATAGGACTTCACTCTGAAGAGACACCCCTGTGTCCCACAAGACTCAAATGTACTCTTCCATTGCCATATATAGAAAGGAATCTTATCCTTTACTTGACTCATAATCAAAGTGGGGAGAGAAGCCAAGCACAATCTAGATCTTAATGGAATTGAAATAATAAAAGCATAATATAGCTCAGACTAGAACAAATTGGGTCTGAATGAAAAGCAGATATTGTACCCATCAAAGGAAGTTTCATTACTAGAATGCCACAAGGACCACATGGGTTAGTCTTGCTTTAGAGGTTCTCTCCTCATCTGATTCTACCTAAAAAGGGGCTTTCTTTGTATTCCTATTGCAAGTCATGCTGAAACAGAAGCAGATAGGGCACATTATTGATGAAATTTATCTGAATGTTCTTTGTCTTATCAGAACTTTCTAAAGGACCTGCTAGAAAAAGCAAACAAGACTGTTGATGACACAAAACTAGCTGAGTACACAGACCTTATGGTAAGACTGACCTTGAAAAGATTTATCCAAGAGCTCATGGATATCACTCTTCTTGCTAATTCTCAAGGCTCACAGGATGAAACAATAAGCCATGGTGTGAGCATGACAGGTGCACAGGTATCACTTCATCCAAAAAATGGAAATACTTAAGGATGTTTACATCTTGTCATGTTGAGTGCTGCAGACATTGGTTTTACAGCTCAATGTATGAGCATTTCTTTTCTTATAAAGTTACTTAATTTTATCTCTCAAAAGATGACTTGTTTTTCTTACAAAGCCCATAATTATATCACTAAGTTATGTAGCTTATTCACGTATGTTTTACACACACACACACACACACACACACACACACACATATATATATATATGAATTATAAGTTACATCACCCCAAACTCATTATAGAGGTTCTGAATCCATTTTTATCACAGCTTAGGAAATCATAGGCTTTTTTAGAGTCTAAAGAGAACTTTTAGCTACATTTATTCATTAAACCTCTTAAAATAGGTCTCTTGAGTTTTGTTATTTTGGGGTATTGCATTGGTGATTTGAGTGAGAAAATTCAAGCACACCCTAAGCTGACACTTTAGTAAATAATACAACCAAGATGTATTATAACATATGGTAACACATCCATGAAAACTTCTTTACACATAGATTCTTAATGTTTTAGGGACAAACAAGCAAATAAATTATTGAAGTTCTCAACAAAAATTATCCATTGCCCATGAAGTTACTTTGTCTGAAGTAGGTGATGTTTGCTCATTTTGACTCATTATAGGATTAGGACTTCCAGGAGATACATAATTTATATATGCTTTAAGTACTGTGAAGGTACAATGAATGAATTCTTACTCCATGATTTAACTAAATAACCCATAAAACACAGTTGTAATTATAAAAGCTGCTTGCTATATTAGATTGATGAAAAAGTTAGATTTTTAATTTTATAAAGAGTTTGATTCAATTTTATGTGGCTACTTACTTTCTCTAGAAAAGCAAAAACAAAACACTAGAACTTTACTACTGCTTTAATCACTAGTGACAGTAATTATAAAGTGGATCTAGTCTTTTGTTTTAAAACAACCAAAAAGATTTTCCATGGACCTCTTTAATTCTTCATTACATCTCCTCTTACAATAGCATTAGCAATCAAATGGTAGGCTTTTTGCTATGTGTCACAGTAGGCAGATCTAAACTCTGAATCTTTTGAGGGAAATGGACAATAACCTACATTTATCAGTTTTCTATTTTGCCCCAGTCTTAAGGGATGTCTATTTAAAGTAAAGTCTCCTTTCCAGGTAGAAATTTGAAGCAGCGTTTCAAAAACCACTTGGCTAGAAGTTTCCCCCTGTTGGACTGGCCCAGCAAATCTGATTAAAAGTCATAAACCAGTTCAAATCCAGGAAGCAAATTAATCAAGAACTAATTAGAAATTTAAATATATAGGTGAGGAAATATTTCCCTATGGGCACTAAACTGTGTGATCTAGTTGTCTAGTATATCAGTACTAGACAATGTTCAATGTGTGACAGTGTTCAATGAATTATAAAATGCTGTGTCATTATAGGACCCTGACAAAAAATCTGCTTCCCACAAATAATTTTTAGAATAGCTCAAATGATAGAATTCTTTTCCTTTCCTCCTAAAAAAGACTTCACTAAGCCTATATCCATTATAGCTTGTTCACATTCCTTTCTTCATGAAAAACAGTTTCATTTTGACATATTTAGTATTCATTTAGTATAGTATACATATTTCATATAGTGTAATATGTTTCAAATATGCTATTTCTATATAACATAATGCAATAGTTGTTATTTCTAAAAGTTCAAATGATCCCCAAATACAGGTAAAGTGCATTTGTGTCTGGATGTGTCTCAGTGTATGATGTGTATGTAAATACAATGGAAACATAGAGAACTTTATTGAGTATCTAGTGCCCAATGGAAAATAAAACAATTCAATATTACTCAAATTCTAGTCCCTAAAGATTTATTCATGCTATCTCCCTATTGCTTTTGTTTGCATTTATTCTCTAAGTGGGTGAAACAAGAGTTGGGGAGTGCAGTTCAGTAGTAGAGTGTTTGTCTATCACATGCAAAGCCCTGGCATCCCCAGCACCTCAAAAGAAAGGGAGAGAGTGAAACAAATTAAATATTTGTTTTCATACCATTGTTTGAAGAGGTTCAGCCATATTCTCCTAGGCACCATCCCTCTCACATCTTAATCTACATACAAACATATTTGCAGGAAAAATATAGTACTCTAGAAGCCTAGTTAAGACCACCACAGTATTTTCTGTTTGACTGTTCTTATTGTTGGTTAGTTTAACAATTGACACAAGATACAGAATTGAAAATTTGTATTGAAAGTTAAAAAGATGGGCCAGGTGTGGTGGTTCATGCCTATAATTCCAGCTACACAGGAGGCATAGGTAAGAGTAGGGTCTGTGGCCAGTCCTGGGAAAAGCACAAGACCCTATTGGAAATATAAGTAAAACAAAAAAAGGGCTGGGGGTGGGGGGAAAGGGAGGTGCATGGTTCAAGTGGTACAGTGCCTGTTTAAAGACCCTGAGTTCAAACCCCAGTACCACAAAAAAAGTTTAAAAGATGCTAGTTTCTAAAATTTAGCTGTTCTGTATAAGAACTTGGTAACTCAAGCTGTTTGATTTTAAGTGGTTATCTCCGTCATTCAAAAATCCTAACTCAATGGCTAGAATAATAATATTCTATCTTTCAGCTGAAACTATTTGATTCAAATAATGATGGGAAGCTGGAATTAACTGAGATGGCCAGGTGAGTTTAGGAATTGTGCAAATGTTATTAGAAAAAGCTGGTCCTATTTCAAAACTCTCATCTCTTAATATGATTTTTTCCTTTCAAAAGGTTACTACCAGTGCAGGAGAATTTTCTTCTTAAATTTCAGGTATTTATCTTACTCTCTTCAGTAAACAATATTTTCCTTCAAAAGTCAGAATATGGGAGATTTATTAAGAGAAACACTGAAATATGGTCATAGCATTTTAACCTCTGGTCTTTTCTCTGATCCTAGGGAGTCAAAATGTGTGGGAAAGAGTTCAATAAGGCTTTTGAGTTATATGATCAGGTAAACATTTTTTCTTTTTTTGAATTGCAGTAAAAGCACAGCATGAAATATATATTCCTAAAATTTGAAGTGTTTTTACACTTATAGTATTATTAAGTATAGAAAAGATGTACAGAACTTTAGAACTTATTTTTCTTGCATAATTGAGACTTTGTGCCCATTGATTAGGGACAGTCCATTCCCCCCACTTTAAAAACAACCATTCTACGTTCCCATACATCATGTAAGTGAAACCATGCGGTATTTGTCCTCCTCTGACTAGTTTATTTCACTTAGCATAATGTCCTCAAGGCCCACCTATATTTTAATACATTGCAGGATCCCCTTCTTTTTAGTGTTGAATAATATCCCAGTGTACATAATTTCTTTGTATATACTTTGTCCATTCATCCACCAATGAACATTTACATTGCCTCCACATTGCAGGTGGTATTGCAAATAATACTGCACTGAACATAGAGCGTCATGTTTACTCTATGAAGATAGATCCTGATCTTTGGTATAAATACCCAGAATTAGGATTGCTAGAACATACAGCAGTTCTTTGTTTAAATTTCTTGATGTATCGTTATACTGTTTTCCATGGTGGTTGCACCATTTTTTATTCCTACCAACAGAATACAGGGTTGCAATTTCTTCACATGCTTACTAATACTTTTGTCCTTTTGTTTGATATAACCATTTTAACAGGTGTGAGGTGATATCTTATTTTTGGTTTTAATTTGTATTTCTTTGCTGGTCACTGACATTGAACATCTTTTCTTAGACTAGTAGGCCATTTATGTTTTCACTGGAGAAATGTCTATTCAAGTCCACCTATTTTTTAATCGGATTAGTTCTTTGCTATTAAGTTATAATACCTTACCTATTTGAATATTTTATTCCTTATATGCAAGGAAATTAGTACCTTATGTAAATGAATGTTTTGCAAATATTTCCTCCTGTTCTGTAGGGTGCTTTCTCAGTCTGTTGACTGTTCCTTTGCAGTGCAGTTTTTCAGTTTAATGTAGCTCCACTGTTTATTTTTGCCTTTGTTGCATATCCATGACCTCAATTTTAAGACCACTATCATAAAGTCTTACCTGTTTTCTTCTAAGAATTGTACAGCTTCAAGATTTAAGTCTTGTATTGAGTAGATTTTTGTACATGTCTTTAGGGTCTAATTTTATTCTTGTGCATGTGGATATACAGTTTTCTCTTACAGCCATTTGTTGAAGAGTCTATCATTGTCCCATTGTGTATTCTCAGCATTGAATCTGTAGATTTGAGTAGTAAGAACATTTTAACAATATGAAGCCTTCCAGTCTGTTGGCACAGAAGTCTTTCTATTTGCTATTGTCTTCTTCAAATTCTTTCATTATTGTTTCACAATTTTCAGTGCACAAGATTTTTAACTTGTTTATTTCTAAGTATCTTATTCTTTTCTAGTACTACTGTAAATGGAATTTCCTACTCCTTTTCAGATGGCTTATTGTTAATGTATGGAAACATTTGATTTTTTTATGTTGATTCATATCCTGTGACTTTACTGAATATGTTTATTAATACCAACTTTTTTGTGTCTTTAGTTTTCTATATATAAAAATCATATTATATGCAAAACAGGAACAATTTTACTTCTTCCTTTTTTGTTTGGATGCCTTAAAAGTTTGCTTTTATCTATAATTTTATTCTTGAGAAGAATTCGGAAAATACTCAGTAAGGGAAAGTAAAAGCCTCACACTCAAGACTCACATGAAAAGAAACCTGGGCTTCTAAAATTACACAACAAATCCATTGTTTCCATAGGAAACATACTATGTTGTATCTTACACAAACCTTGCACAAACCTTGATTCAAACCCTTCCCCATGATTTATCTGCTATGAGGATTTGAACAAAGGACAAAAAAACCTCTGTGCCTCAGTTTCCTCATTTGTAAGCAACAGATAATGATACCACTTGCAGGGTTGAATGAAGATTAAGCTAGGGGAAAATACCCCCACAAAAGTCTCTCACATAGTAGATGTGGGAAGAAAGGGTTGTTTTAGTGTGTGTATGATGTTGTTAGTTCTTGTCTTTGGCTTCTTCTAATTTCTCTACTCTTGGGCCAAGAGTATACCTGCTCCTTCCTTCTGTGACATCAGGTCAATCATACAGCTTCTCTGGGCCTCAGTGTCTTCACTTGTCAGAGGAACAAACTTATGGCTACTTAGTCCAGCAAGAGATGATATTGTTAACATAAAGCAAAATATTAAATGTGAAAATTATTTTAAAAGTTCAAGATATCTTAAAAATGTAAGGTGTGAGTGCAGAAGCAGCTCACCTATTTTGCAACTGGGAAGCAGTTGCTTCCCAGGTGAGGGTCTCACATAACAGTGCCTGCCAAGTATGCAGTTGGGAGATTTTGTGAGAATTCCAGTTTTTTCCCCTGTACTTCATTCCTCACTGTGGATGGAGTTGGATGTGTACTATTTTATTTCTCCTCTCCCAGGATGGCAATGGATACATAGATGAAAATGAACTGGATGCTTTACTGAAAGATCTGTGTGAGAAGAATAAACAGGTAATTTAGTTACTATACCACTTATTTCTTAAGTAGACTTTATGGATCCATCCAGAAGCAAACATATATCCATTCTGGAAATTTACTTTAAAATTTTACAGAGCAGCAGAAGTAGATTTTGATTCTTAACTCAATTTGGTTCTGGCCTAAATCAGTATAACCATGATAAATATATGTTTATATATATATATATATAAAACCTTGTGATTATTCACATTTGTATAAGAATTTCATCCAGTTCTTTTCTTAATGGATTGATATAATAAGCAGTTTTCATTCTACATTTTATCACTGGACCATAGTTAATTTAACTTCCATATTTAACTGGATTGCAATGCCATCTGTGTTGTATACAGGATCTGGATATTAATAATATTCCAACATACAAGAAGAGCATAATGGCTTTGTCAGATGGAGGGAAGCTGTACCGAACAGATCTTGCTCTTATTCTTTCTGCTGGGGACAACTAGAGTTTGTGGCTACAACCACTTGCTAGCGATACATTGTATCTAAAAAATAACTGTGCACTATAAAGGAGTAGGCTGTATTTTCTTTTATATCTGTAAATTTCACTGCATATAGATAATTATCCAGGATATGTGGCACATTCTTTTCTGCTTGTTTCTATACTGTTTGTAATGTACAGTTTTTGTAACTATATGAATGAAAAGGAGACAGTCTATGCTTAGACCAGTTAGTACAGCCAATTTTAAAAATAACCTAACATATTCTTGTTTTCATAAATACAGTTGGACATTAATATTTTCCTAAAAATTTCACCAGGAATAACCTCTAAAATTCTAGTCTCTAATGTGTAAATGCACATTTGTCACTGAATAAGATAATAATAATGATACAATGAGCATTCTTAGACAATCATGAAACTGTCCCACAAAATACTTCTAAGCTATTATTTCCAACTATTAGTAAAAATGTCCTTTTAAATCTAAAATACCAACATATCAATAAATACTTAATACTGGCTTTATGAAGTTAACGGTCTCCCTAGATTTTCAGTTTACTAAACAATGACATGTCTACTGCTTGATCCATATTAAATGGTTGGTTCAAGATCTGGTAACAAGGGAAGGTAGTACCAGATGACATTAAAAACCTGTCTGACTCCACACCTATATTTCCAATGAGTCTACTGTCAGAGAGTATGGTCTTGATCCATTTTCTAAACCATTTTCATGTGTTTCCAATTATAATTATCCTAGAAAACTGCTGTCTTATATAGTGTGTGTAATCTCCAATTAAATTTAATATGCTGAGTATCCTGGTGTCTAGTTTGCATACTTCCTGGATTTTCTTTCTATGTAGAGCTGTTCATTCCATCAAGAGTATCTGCCCCATCTGAAAATATTTTTTTCTAGCTATAACAACTCTATTTTTTACTACATAATTGAATTTTAATGTAAAATTCATAGCACCCTGATTACTGAATGTTATATCATCAATACTTTTGTGTATTCTGTATTTCATATTGAGATTGGCATTCAAAATAGTTCTATTTCTATCTACAAATAGTTTCAAATGAATTAAAAATAGCATCTGAAGAGAAATACTAATGTAATCATTTAGCCTATCTAGTGAGGGAGATTCTAAAACCTCCCTTTGACCCACCTCTAAGTCACAGCTTCACATATTTGTAGCTAGATTATCCTATACTGGTTATAATTGATATGCAATGGTTGGTGACTTCAGATTCTTTGATTGTGATGCAAGGAACAATGACCAAAGTGTCTGGGTGAAATTTATAGTTACTGCCAAAGAGTTAATGATGGTCCTGGGTCAGCTTGAATGTTCCCATTCGACACTTTTTCTGTTTCATAAAAATAACAAAAATGTGAGCTGTCTCTTTCCCTCAAGAATGAACAGAAAAGAGATCTGCCAAAAAATAAAATTTATCAAATGACATGAGTAGTAGATTGGCTTTACCTGTAGCATGTAAATGGAAACACTGACATTAGACAGAGTTTAAGTATTAAGAATAAATAAAGAAAATAACCTTAATCTCTTGTATTTGTTTCTTCTCCAAAATATTATTTGGCATGTAATCCATAATCAGTCAAGGCAGACATGTAAGATGCTCAAATTATTATAGCCTAAGGAGTAAAATAAATGCAAATCTAATTTAATAAATTATTAGATGGTTACTTGAATTATCTCTAACACTAAATTTTACAAAAAAATTTCAAAGCATCCAAATGTCTGGAATTTTTTGCCAAAATGATATAGTCAAATATTTCTTCATGAAGGTCTCCAAAGGAATAGGAAAAACTTTTCCTATATTTCATGCGTGGAAAAATAGTTTACTTACTACAAAGCATACAGCAAAACTATACTAGGTTTGGCATTGTCACAGTAATGGCATGGAAAAACAAGCAAACAAACAAACAAAAAAACCCACAACAGGAAAGTATGATGGTAGTATTTCTGCATACCCATGTTTATTGCAGCATTATTCACAATAGTTAAGCTACAGAAACAGCCAAGGTGCCCCACTACTGATGAATGGATTAAGGAAATGTGGTATTTATATACAATGGAATTTTATTCAGCCACAAAGAAGAGTGAAATTTTGTTGTTCACAGGTAAACTGATGGAACTAGAGAACATCATCTTAAGTGAAGCTAGCCAGGTTCAGAAGGCCAAAAGCCACATGTTTTCTCTCATTTGTGGAATATGGGCCTAATATAAATACGGTGATATTATGAAATCAGGACATGCTAAGCGGAGGTCACATATTGGGGGAGGGAGGAGTAGATGAAGGAAGTTAAGAGTATGAATGTGACTGATATGCTCTGATACAACAATGAATATAGAACTTTTAAGCCTGTTGGAACTATCATAACAAAGGGACTAGGATAGAAAGAAGAAAAATAGAGAAGACAAACTAATTTGGGTTAGAGTACATATATACCTGGAACGTCACAAGGAAACTCCCAGTGTAGCTATCTTAAATAAAAATGTCATTTTTTTTTCTTTTACAAAATTGGAGAAAAGGACGACAGAACACATTCTGTCTGGGGTAGTTGGCACCAGTGGGAAGGGGGAGGAGGTGAGGAAAGGGTGTAGGAAGGTGAATATAGAGCAAATACTGTGGACACATGTATGTAGATGGAAAATGATTCTTATTGAAACTATTCCAGGATGGGGATAAGAGGGATAAAGGAGAATGATGGAAGGGATGAATTTAAGTATGATATATTTGATATATTTTAAGAACTTTTGTAAATACCACAATGTACCCCCATCCAGTACAACAATTTAAAAAATTTAGACATTAAAAAAAAGAGACTTCCTAGAGAGCTGATGGTAACAATTGTTAGACACCCAGCACCAGGAACATCATGGTGGACTTGAGCTCCTGAGCAATCAGACAAAAAAATTCTTATACCTGGCCTAGTTGGTTACAATTACACATATATGGCAGTTCTGCTTTGAAGGGCAGAGATCAGCATGGAGATTTTAAAAGAATGAATCCAGGAGCATAAATGTAAGACGACTAGCACAATGCCTACCTCACATCATGAACAAAACACATTCCAAGTTTAGTTCAATCTAAATATAAAAGGTATGGGAAGCGGAGGGGGGGCTGGGGGGGTAAAAGGGCACAAACAATGTATACATATGTAAGTAAATGCAAAAATGATAAAAGAAAAAATAATAAATAAGTATAAAAGGTATGCAGACAATATTGAAGAGTATCTTCAATGTCCCAGGCATGGAAATATTTCTTAACAAAGAGGAAACAGGTTGAAAAACTATACTCCATTAAAAGTAAGAGCATCTGATCACAAAAAGAGACATTTAGGCATGAAAAATCAGGCCAGACATGGTGACACATGCCTGTCATCCTAGTTACACAGGAGACAGAGATAGGAGGATGACAGTCCAAGACCATCCCAGGCAAAAGCACATGATCCAATCTGAAAAATAAACTAAAGTAAAAAAGTCTGGGAACATGGCTCAAGTGGGCAACTACTTGCTAGCAAAGGCAAGGCCTTAAATTCAAACTGCAACACCACCACCACCAACAACAAAAAAGAGTTAAAAATCGGTTTTCAGTGTGAGAGAAGATATTTGTGACACACATAATTGTCAAAAACATAAGTCCAAAATACAAAAGCATTACTCTTAAATAGCAATTTTAAAAAATATAACCCAACAGAGAAATGTGAGAAAGTTGAGTTGGCAATTCAAAAAGAAGATAACTGAATGTCAATAAACATAAAAATAAATCAATTTTATCACTTATTAAAAGAAATGCAAATTTTAAAAAATGAAATCCCACCATGTGTTCATCATAAAGGCTTCAAGAAATTTGACTACTCAGTATTGCTGTTTTGGTACAGCAGAAACTCTCACTGCTTGGAGGGAGGTTAAAATGTAAACAGTTTGGAAAGCTGTGTAGTAATATCCACTAAATTTGAGCGTATTCGAACTCAATCACCTAGCAATTTCACTTCTAGTTATTATCAATCTAATACAGAAAAGCATGCTATGTTTTCACACAAAGAACTAGCATGTTCACATGCAGCATTGTATTGGTAGACTCAAACAAGAAACAACCCCAATGTCCTTCAATAGAAGTAACAAATGGATTATAGTATATTCATATATACCATACATTCAAAAGAATAGTATAGAACAATGTGAATGCATAAAATTGCTACACAGAAAAGAGCCAAAAGCAGAAAAATACATATTGCAAGATTATATTTGTATAAATTTCAAAGGCAGCTTAACTATGGTGCTAAGTGCCAAGACTGTGCTTTAATACTAGGGAGGAGGCAGGGGAGTCTTGATGGGGGTCTAGAAGGGGCTTCTGGATTCCTGGTGGTGTTGTTTCTTCACCTGGGTAGAGATTACATGCATATATTCATTTTATAATTCATGACTTGTTTACTTTTTAAATTGCAAAGTAAAAACAATGGGCTTTTCACCTTTAAAGGTTTTTATAAAAAATAAACATACATCTGTCATATGGTCCAGCAATACCACTCCTAGGGAGATACCCAAAGGAATGCGACTCAAGTTATTACAAAAGCACCTGCACACCCATGTTTATTACAGCACAATTTACAATAGCAAAGCTATGGAAACAGCCAGGATGCCCCACTACTGATGAATGGATCAAGAATATGTGGTATTTATACACAATTGGAATTTTACTCAGCCACAAAGAATGAAATTTTGTCATTCCCAAGTAAATGGATGAACTAGAGAACATCATCTTAAGCAAAGTTAGCCAGGCTCAGAAGGCCAAAAATCACATGTTCACCCTCATATGCAGATTATAGACCCCAAACAAATGCAGTAATATTATTGGACATGGGTCACACACAAAGGGGAGAACATGCACGGAGAAATAGGGAAAGGAAAGGAAGCCTAAAACTTGAATATGGTTGATGTGCTCACTGTTGAGGAGTGAATAAAGTAATCTTAAACTGGCAGAGGCCACTATGAGAAGACCAGGAAGCAGTGAAGAGGTCTGGTAGAGATGAGCCAATGTGGGTTGCAATACACATGTGCATGGAAGCAATGCTAGGAATCTCTTTATATAATTGTCTTTATCCCAAACTAGCAAAATCACTATGTCTTTCTTATTATCTCTTATGTTTTCTCTTCAACAAAATCAGAGAAGAGGGCAGAAAAGGTTCTGCCTGGAAGCAGGTGGGGTTGGGGGAGGTAGCACAATGTATACACATGTAAGTAAATGTAAAAATGATAAAAGAAGAAAAGAAAAAAAAAGGGTTTTATAATATAATTGTAGCTCATAAAGACACTGTTATTATTTTTTGATTTAAATTATACACTTAAGAAACATCCAATTGGGGCAGAGATGCAAGCTTGACCTAGGGCAAGTCATGTAACTTGCACAGGCCTTGAGCAGTTTCTTCAACTGGAGAATGACTATCTTCTTAGGCTTTTCCAGCTCCAAAATTCTGTTATTCATATGAATAAAGTCACTTCTGTTCACGCTGCTTTAGTTTTCACAAGAACAATAAGGAAACAATGACTGTCACTCTATACCTGAAATATTTCCTTGAGGTTTTCACATTAATTGTAAGATGAGTGACACTATTACTAATAATCCCCACTTCAATTGACTATTAACTCTTCCATTAGCGTAACGGAAGCAGGACTCTTACAAAAAGTACTAAATAGAGTAACAGTAATTATTCTTAAGGTGAATCATTGATTTGCTTTCAGCCCAAGTGTGGTCTGTCATGGAGGATAGTGATTATCGATCAATGTTTGCTT